AGGCACAAATTAACGAATAGGAACCGGACTGACACTCCATCTGTCCCTAGAAATAGAAAAGACCAAGGCCCAAGAGGGCCTATCTGTCCTCCCCCCCCCCCCCCCCCCCCCCCCCCAAAAAAAAAGAAAAAAAAAGAAAAAAAAAAAAGAGAAAAGAAAAAAAGAACCCCTGCACAGTGCATGCTATTCCATAGGATATTAGCATCGCATATGCGTGCTGACCATACGGCCCTGTTTCACTTTTGCATTTTATTATTTTAATGTTATGAATGGAAGTATAAAATTCAAAAAAATATAAAATATAAAATATGATTAATTTATCTGTCTTGCAGATGTTTGGATATCCGACAGGACTTGGAGCACTTCTGATACGGAATGGTGAGTGCAGCCGGCGTATCTGGTCCGTTCATGGATGCCATCTCCTTCTCTTCTTCTCTGCTCCTCTTCTTCCCCGTCCTCTTCTTTCTCCTTCCTCCTCCTCTTCCTCCTCCTCCTTCTCGTCCGTGCATGGTTCCATCTTCTCTTCTTCTTCTTCTTCTTCTTCGTCTTCGTCTTCGTCTTCGTCTTCGTCTTCGTCTTTTTCTTCTTCTTCTTCTTCTCCTTTACTTTTTCTCTTCGTCTCTTCTTCTCTCCTTCCTCCTCCTCTTTCTTCTCCTTCTCCTTCTTCGTCCTCCTATTCTTACTACTCCTTCCTCCTCCTCTTCCTTCTTCTTCTTCGTCCTCCTCCCCCTCTTCTTTCTCCTTCTTCGTCTTTTTCCTCCTCCTCCTCCTCCTCCTCGTCTTTCTCAACCCCCCTGCGAGTGCTACCTCACAAAATAGCTGTTAAGTTATATGTGTCTCCACACACACACACACACACACAATAGTCCAATGAAACAGTCTGGTACAGTCATGCTTTTTTTTTTTTTTTTTTGGAGTTGTATGTAGCGAACGTGATAACACACAAACACAGATACCGTGAGGAAGTGTGTGTGTGTGTGTGTGTGTGTGTGTGTGTGTGTGTGTGTGTGTGTGTGTGTGTGTGTGAGTAAGCAGGGAAAAAAAGAAAAATAGAAATCGAAGGCAGTCTTCGTCGTCCAACAAAACATATGGGGGAAGGCGGTGGGGCTTGCATGATATTGCTTTCTGCGAGAGTGGTTTTCATAACAATTTATTAACATTTTAGAATATCACATCTGTCCGCAGGAGCAGTGTGAAGACCGTACAAGGCAACAAACTGATTGTTTTTGGGGGCTTTCAATGCCCAGGAGGTCCGGCAGGTTGTCATGGGTAGGAGTCTACTAGGAGAGGACACCTGCTTCGCCCATCAACTGGGTTTTGTAAAATTCGACAACGACTTCCTGATCAATCAGCTGTGATGAGCAGCAGC